GAAGGTCTCCCTATTTCTCCCTATTTCAATTCACATCCCTTTGGGATCATGATCTTCCATTGAGTGGAGCTGACCAATGCCATAGATCACCTTCTCTGGGCTGGTTGGTCTGACATCACATGATCAGTAATCTGGATGAGGTGGAGAATGACTCATAGACCTCACAATGTACCAGATCCATTGCTTATTCCCCAATCAATTGATCCTGTCATAACTCAGCATAGACCCGGCACAGACAGATGTTTCTTAATGACCTAAATAAACCCTTGGAGACAACTCCAGCTCGGATAGCTAGAACACACAAGGGAACCATGACCACCTTGTCGTTGATTGTATTTGTATTGAGGCACCCATCAGGCACCCCTATCCTCCAAGAGGCATCCCTTTGTGACTCCTGGTATTTACTCTCTGACTCACTAACATGGAAGTGGAAAATGACCCCTTGGAAGACTACTTTCCTTTACAAACAGGAGGTTTTCCACTTTCATGTTAGTCAGTCGGAGTGTACACCAGGATCGTCACCCAACAGATCCCCCTGAGCGCCCGCCGGCCAGGCCTCTGTGCTGGGCCATCGGGACGCGGATGCGACCGTGGCCCGGGAGCCCTCCGCAAGCGGTACAGGTTCCGCAGTGAGCCTCCGGGGTCATCCCACCAGGAACCCAAGAATGAACCAACATATATCATACACCTCCTGAAATCATCAGGGAAGTTGATGGCACCACCCGCTTGTAGAGGAAAGCCATCCTGTCGTGGCCGTGCCATGCACGTAACCATGATTGTTCAGTGTCAACCCTGCGATTCTTGTGTTTAACGTCGAATGAACCGCAGAGAGTACAAGATCTAACACTTAGATAGGCTGCAGTTGATAGTGGATTTGATCCTTCTGCACATATAGGTTGATTGTTACAACATGATGCGTTCCAGACCAGTTGGAAGGAGACGAAGACTTACACCAGTTCTTCGACCTTCTTAGGGGGGTCCTTCTTGAGCCCTGCCAGGTTCTTGCCTGTCAGGTTTTTATGGGAAGGAACACATTAAAACTGTTGAGGGGTCCCTTTCCAATGGTTGCAAATTACAATTCTTTCTCCAAAAGCGACAGAGCTTCTTTGTTCTTTTTTTCACACTCTTAGTTGGTCAGCGACTGGTGCTCTCCTGTGTGATGTTTGTTCAACTTCAATTGTTTTGCCTGCTAGAGATACACAGAGATACCCCAAGGGCCAACTAACATATACCAAACATATTCAATATATATATATATAGTACTACATGCTTGACACTGACAAGCCTTTGACTCTAGAAACATTTATCATAATATAGTAACGTAGTAAATACATGAATATATCATATATACCAGGGCCTTCAAGGGCTGGTCAATGGACACCCCTTAACGGCTAAGGGGCTATAGTAGTGTACCATATATATTATGTTTTCAATTGGGCACACTTCAGTGCTGGCAGCCCAGCCCGTCGGCCGTCGGAACGCCCTTCGTCGCGGCCATCGCTCGAGCGGTTGGTCTTCTCACACCAAGGTCTCACCGATGCTGTTGGGCTGTGCAGATGGCGTCTCTCAGATTGAGGCACGGAGACGCTATGGTCGCACGGGTTTGATGTGCCCGACCCGGTCGAATGGGATGAGGTGCCCCGTAGATGGGATGACTGTTTGATTCATATAGAATCATAGACACGCCGTATAGCAGATTTTGTTTACATCTCCATATGAGGGGCTTTTATCAATCAGCAGTACACATCAGATGTGAGCAATAGTTCAACTATGAAGGGGTCGCAGGTTACCGTGTTGGAAGGTGTTTGCCTTGAAACTCCGTGGTTGCAGTTTTTACCGTGTGTGGACATCCCTCCATTGCTCTACAGTGGCAACTTGCTTGCATTGCTGGTTTTTGCTTGATGAGTTTGACTGCATGATCGAACCAGATCATCCAATAGACTAGCAGCATGACTTTTCGGATGGCCATGGCTGGCTCAAGAGCCCCCAGTCCCCTTGGAGCATATTTGCATGACCAAATCACCCAGGCTGTGTATTCCTTTGGAGACTGCCCAGATCAGAGGCTGATTGAACTTGCTCCTCAGGTGTCTCCAAGTTCCATGGGTTGGAGTGTATCCTTCAAACAATGTATAATGTGTATCATACATACAATATATACCAGCACCCTCCAACAGGTCACCACCTGACACTTTAAAGTATCCAAAAGCTACCAGAGGAGACCTGTAGAGTCGGGTGCTGGTATGTATATGTCATATATATATATGTATATTCATGTTCTTCTCATGACATGCTTCTCAGAGACTCAGACCCTGCTGGTCTCAGATTTTGCCATCGCTGGAGTCACAGAGGCAGCTCCCGTCGCAGCACCACGGCGGCACGCTTTCTCTGCCAAAGCGTCCTCCGCTGCGGTAGGAGTTCGGCATCGACGCGTCAAAGTTGCCCCGAGAGCTCTTGGATGCCTGTGAGGCGGGCTGCCGGTATGGGGAGCATCAATGAACAAAGGAATTCCAGATGAATCCCGGATGGTATGAAGATGGCTTTTAGGCATTGCAGAGCTTACATGAAGATGAAGACTATTGAAGACTTGTGGTGTTCCACCACAAACTCCGAATGAGCACTGCTCCACCTACGTATACCATTTGAAAGACACCGACCGACCGACCGAATCCACAAGGATATATATCACACCTGCAGGTGTCGATTGGGTGTGTATATGACTTGGGGGATCTTCTCCCCCACCAATGGTGTTTTTCTTTGCCTCCTTTTGGGTCTATCCCTCCCCCGCACCTTTGTGGAATGGCGTGGTGTGCCTTGAACATGGACGTGTCCGCAAGTGGTGTGTAGGTCGACCAGGTCCACCGCGCCACCGTGCGGAACGCGCACGGATTCTCGGAAGCTCCGATCGGATCGGTTGATCACTCCGCGATCCCAGGATCAGGCGATGAATTTGCTGGTCCCCGACGAGGTGAGGACATGTTTGGAGGATTTCGGTGAGGACATGCTTTTACTCAAAAGGGAGCTGGACCAGAACTCCACCTCCGCTTCTAGCTGTTGGGCGAAGGGGGGGTTTTGCTTGTGAGAATCCTTCCAAGGGAGCAGTCTTCACTCACGGGTTCTGTTGACCAGGACGTGTTTGGATTCTTCCTTAGCTGGACTACCCCACAGAACTTAGGGATCATCCATTGGACATTCATTGGAATGAGCTATCAATGGCTGTGTGGAAACAACATAAACGCAAAAAACACAGATACACCAATGAACACATGGCACAGCACGAAAAGGGCAGCATGAGCAGGATTTCCACACTGAGGGAGTGAGTTACAGTGAGTTCACTGGAAACAGAGACCCTGGGATGATCGCAAGCATCGTTTCCTTGTAACATATTCCTGTATAATCCTGTAATTGTGTTTTTTTACAAGGCCACTTTTGCCTTGCTGGGAACCTCATGGTGCTCCTGCAGTGTTCGCTGATTGAATAGAGCTTGGGGAACTTTGTAAAAGCACACTGCCAAGATACATATCTTATTCCTATATATTCTTATATGTATATAATGTAAACAGACTTGAAGGACAAAGGAGATGTGGAGATCGTTTTGCTTGGTCGAGAAGGAGCATGGAAACGCACATGTTGATCATAGGTGACATGAAACGCGACCAAGTGGTCTTCGTGCGATGCCGGAAGGCAGGAAAGATCTCAGGGGCATATGAAGGGCCAGTGCCCTTAATGCGGGAGGCGCAGTTTCGGTCTGCAAAACAGGAGACATTTGCTGTAAAGGTAGACATCAAAACGGTTAAGCCAAAAACCCTTGATGTTTAATTAGGGAAGCCAGAAGGAGTAGGATTGGCACGTTTATTGGCCGAAACTTGTTGGTTTCAGGGGCAATTGCAGATGTAAACCTCACCACGCGACTCACAGCTCAGACGGTGACGTATGTCAGACTTGCACAACGGAGGCTCCTGACGATCTCATGTTCATGCATTGCTCCAGTTGTGGGGACCAAGCACACCGACCCCGAATCGGAGCCGAAACCTTCACCCTGGCTTTGCTTAGTATGATAATGGATGATGGTTCTTTGCCCGAACGGGGGGAATCCCCAAATCTTGGCCAATCTGTTTGATCTTTTCCCCCGCTCCTGGGAGCCAATCAATCCCACCGCTGACCCAAACGACCCGTGACCTCGTGAGGCGTTCAAGAAGACCCGAAGCTTGGGATCCACCACGGTCTGCAGGGGCTCCCAGTGGGAGTGAGCTGGTAGCGTCTGGAAGAGTTCAGGAGAGATCGAGGTGACACGGTGAGGCGAACCGGCGAACTCGCCGGCGAACGGACCTTTTGATGGTTTGGGCATGTTTGGCCTTGAAGAAGTCATGTTGCCTTTAGTTGCTAGATGTGCCGCATAATTCATGAATGATGGATTTAATGATAGAAACATTTAAGAACTGTCCGTGTCCATCTATATTCTTACCGCACGGCTTTGGTGGCCCGCACCACTCCTCAGTGCGCTCCGCACACAGCGCAACATGAGCCCGGTCATGGTCAACATGTCCTCGCCCTTAGGACTGCTTGAAGTAGAGCCAGTCTAGTCAACATTGCCTATAGATGAACTTGTCAAGAACATAAATTTGCTTGGAAAGACAACATCTGGATGCCTGAAGGTACATGGCAATGTTTGTGCACATGAGAGTTTGTAGTGGTCTTGGGGATGTCATATATATATATTGTAAACTGTATGGTGTGTATATATATATACACTTGTAATATAATAATAGTAATGCTGGATGTCCACCATGGGGGTCAGATCGACAAGAGATAGACAGTGTCAAAGCCCGACCTGATGGAACTCAGAAGAGATTGACCTGTTGGAATTTCATGGAACTCGGAAAAAAAACAAAGGCCGCAAAAAAAACTATAAATGTGTTATTAATCAGGAGTTTTTACCGTACTGGTTGGATTCTTGTTGACCTGCTTAATCTCTCTAGATATGTCAGAACTTTCCACCGTCCCTAGCACAGTTCTCGGAGAACGCTCGTCTCCGCCACGCGACCGCGTTACGTGCCATGGCGCGCGCTCGCCTGTCGGCATCGCTCCTGCAGCAAGTGCCCTATCAGGTGCGATGAAGTCGACAGTCGCCCTGTGAATCCCTCTAATTCCGTTTGTACAGCCAAAGGAGTGCTAAAGACTGCACAAAAAGAGTATATAGTACATGATGTCACAATGTTTTTTGAACCACAATGGGCATGAAAGTAGTAGACCCCTCGGAGTACGAAGACAGGATTACAGCGCCGGGGGTTGGCTGAAAGTCTATATTTTAATTTAGTCGTCCTTTATTTCCATTAACAGTTTTCGCTATTGGAAAACATCCCAATTGATTTTGTTATTGGCTTGCACATGGCCTCCATCTCCAAACGGCTGACATGGTCAGAGGAGTGCAAGGGTATTTCCCCAGGTTCTGGCAGTGGAGGGCGAGGCAGTTGAACCATTTCAACTGCGCCCTCCACGCAGTGCCACGCAGTGCAGTGCCAGGCCCCTACTTGGGCCTCGTCGCTGGATGCGCCGCGGCACCGCGTGGTCTTGGGGCATTGGCCCACGCCTTTGCCGCTGGGGTGCACGCATGATGTGCGTGCCACATCATGCGTAGGGTGATGTTGCTAGCACTCGGTAAGGTGGGATATTCGGTCCTCAGGCGATAAATAGATTGAGAACCTGTCCAGGGGCCTTTTGGGGTGATCTAGGATGTCCTGCGACTTGGCTTGGAGGCCTTTCCTTAGCTACAGACTTCGTTCGAGAGCTTGTGGGTTTCGAAGCCTTTGTTTCCTCCAATTCTTCACACAAAGAACAGAGCCAGGTTGGGTTGATGGATGTTGATTGCATTCTCCCCTCACTGGTGATGAATTGCTTGCTTCCAAGTTTGAGTCGTCTAGCCACAGGTGATCTACCACCCCGAATCCTATATCCAAATCCTCCTCATTGTATGTCAACCCCCGCAATTGTTCCCTAACCTGTTCTACCCAAAAAGAACGCTATGATGCTATATGTATAGGGGCACAATATGCCTCTAGACCGCTTCGAAAGATAGCGCCGCCAACCGTGGCCAACCGGTTCGTCCAAGCTGTGTTACTATCCCAGACCATCCATGGGACTGGAATGTATGATCGTTATGCCTGCATTGAGCCCAGGTCAACAATCCCAATGTGGTTAAATATATATATATATATATGCCATTCCCATGGAGGGTTCGGGTCTGTCATGGTATGAAGGACTGGTTGCTTTGTGGGGCTGGCCCATGGCTGAGCCCATGGCATGCACCGTAGCCAAAGCGAATTTCAGAAAAATAGAAACAACACATCGGTGGGATTCGGAGAATTTGGAGGAGAGAGCTCCGGACCTGAACTTGGAAACTCAATGAGAACTTGGTTTAAACCTCACATGATGTGGCTCAAAGGGTTGATCCACCTCAGGATTGGTGAATGTTTGTTGCTACGTACTGTTGGATTGTCAAGCTTCCAGTCCACAGTTTCATCCAACTGCACCTTTTTCGGGCCCGGGGAAACAACGAGACCAGCGGTGACCAGCCGTGGAAGCAGGTGTTTTCCTCATCGCCGTGCGAAGCGATGACCCGAGGATGCCTTGGGCCAATCCAGCATTGAAAGAGCTGAATGTGCCACTTGGCAGCGACGTCTGTGGCTCCGACTTGGTCCCCGGAAGCCTTCGCCTGGGTCCCTTCAGAGGCTACACGCCTATACACTCTTACAGCAGCATCTCATACTGGAGATCAACTCCCCAGGGTGTAAGCCAGATGGAGTGTGAGGGCAAACAGACCAAAGTATAGCAGTACCTCTCAGTTCACCGTGTAATTTCTTCTTTTTGCCCGCTAAAACCGGCGTCCGCAGCGTCGGAGAAACATGGCAAAACCGACGTCCCTCCAGGCGAACCTTTCGACCAACGCGAAGCATCGGCTCAGGCGTTGGTCGCTGAAGCGCGATGACGTGTGTGGTGTGGAGCTGTCCGGGAACAAGACCCGGAAGCCTTTCGGAAGACGTTTTTTCTCGTGTCGTCGCGTTCTTTTTGGGGTGACGGAGAGGAGATGGAGGAAGATCGGGCTTTGCTTCGTGGATGACCTCAGGGCTGTGTCATAGGGCTCCCCTTGTATAATGCATCTATATATGTATACATTAATAATAAGCATCTGGCCTAGCGGCCTAGTTCCATGCAGCAAAAAGCTTTGCTTTGTATTGCCTTGTTGGTTTGTTTGGTAGAAGACGGGAAGCCCCCAACTTTCCCCAGCGGGTGTACGCTTGATGTTCATGTTTTTTTGATGCTCTAGAATCCTAGTGTGTGTGTTTGATATCCCAAACGATCCATGTAAGGTGAACATGACTCACATTCACCACGAAAAACAACTCAACAACACACCAAATGTGGGCCATATTTGCGCCACCATTGATCGTTTGGGGATGAGATGAACATGCAATTCTCCCGATTCGAGCTTGAGGACATGGGATAGTACATGGGATATTGGGGTGCAAGGGACTGGAATAGAAGGGAGATGACACCCATAGTCACTTTGTCCTTTCTGGCTGAGGCTGGAGTTCTTGCTCTCGGAGGCCTTCACAAAGTGCGACAGTTGGCAGTTGTCTCCCAAACCTTTTGTGGGGACCACTGATGCACTCACAGGCTAGGGAATCGAGAACCAACTACCCCTTGTTGGGGAGCATCGCGCTGTCAATGTTGTTGAAAGGAATTTCAAATTTTGTTCAATGTTGCTGAAATGTTGTGGGCTTTGCTAGTCTTCCACAAGTCCATAAGGCTTCCCACAGGGAGAAACCCAGAAGCCCGATACAAGCGGGTCTCTACCTGGGGTCACGCGATATCATTAGCCATGACCCAGCCGCTTGTGAGAGCTCATGAGAGCTGTGGTGAAAATATGGATTCTGAGGTGACCGCGCAGGGAGAAACATGTTTGGGTCGAAATCCCACATTCACCACGATGCATCCAGTTGATATTTAAGTGTCACTATTTTCACAGACCAACGTTAGAAAACCAACTGCAAATCACAGACCGGAGGCGGGCCTCTTGGTGCTAGCTAGAGAACAAATATCAACAAGTCAAGTTTACAAGTCAACCATGTGGCTACAAAAGAACCGTGCCTGCTTGCCACTGTGGTTTCATGTTTCCAGGCTTGCCTCTCTCCCAAACGACACATCAAACCAGTCTGAGAATCTGTCACGTGACAACCAGCACAACCTGTGGTCGCTGATTCGGGGTTGGGGCCCGGGGCCATCGGCAGGCCCTTGCGAACGGCCATGACTCCGTGGTCACCGTGGGAGGTGGCGTGGCGCGGGTTTCCGGGGCGTCCGAAACCAGAGAAAAGCCACCAAGTTGGTCTCATTGTTTCTTTGTTCAAAGGAACCAAGAATTCTCTAACTTTACTAGTTTGATCTAGTCTAGTTTGTGAGGAACCAGGTTAGGCAGGTTGAAGGTCCATATGAGTCCATATGCATGGTTTATCATGGTTTGTTACTCAGCAATTAATCTTAGAACCGAACCCCCCCAAATGGGGAGTCGTTCTCATTGGTTGCTACTGGAGTGCCTCCTCTTGACCCATCACGAGAAGTACCGTGGGTCACGGCATGTCAGATGCTGTTTTGATGCTATTTGTTCCATTAGATTTGATGAGTTCTCGTTTGTTTGTTTCTATTGCTTGCCGCATCTTCAAGGCAGGACGGATGTTGCAACTCCTCCCTCCTCCCTCTCCTGAAGGGAGGATCCTCAGTGCTTCGGAACCTGATTTCGGCCGTCGTAAAACGCCGTCGCTTGGTTCGGTCCCAACACCACTTGGCCTCCATCTTAGTCCGCCCTACATTGGGGTATAGGATTCATTTGAAGTCGCAAAAGTCACCAGTCGACAGCGAACTTCGTGAGAGACTTGTGATTCAACCAAAAAATGCCCGGATGCACACATCTAATCTACGTAAGAGGTTCTTAGTATGTTCTTCCTGGAAAATCCCATGGACTCAGTCACCCGTCAGCCCGTCAGGTCTTCAATCCAACCACTGCCGCGCCACGGCCGTGTGCGCCAAGCTCTTGGGACTGGAGCCTCATGTGGTATTGCTGGTACCTGGGCATGGCATGAAACATCGAACCCAAAAATCGAAAGAGAAACGAGATAAGACTTGATCTAATGTATCAGCAGATGGCGCTGTGCTTCCATGGAAACAACGTGTGTTTCGCAAGGTAAGCTCGGGTTTATCCCCTGACCATGACCCCACATGTGAAAAAGCTTGATTGTATCATAGTGTATCTCTACGTTTCCCGTTTTTATGCATTACATTGCACTACCAAGAACACCCTAGAGGCCATCTATATAACACCATTTTGGCTCAGCGCCATCTTTTGAGTCGTTGGTCCGGAAACCCTGTGTCATAGCATGTCGACCAGCTCCTATTTTTGGCATTTGCCAGGCTTGTTACTGAGAATTCCACTCGCTAATTAATCTGATTCTCCACGAGCCTCCAGGTGAAGGATCAGATGCTCCAAGAGGACCCAGGTGGGATGTGTCGTGTCAACCTGCAAGTTTCTTGCGAGCGGCGATGGATATGGCTCATGGCTCCCCCCGAATTGTTTTCCGCTGTTCAGTTTTGCCCTGATTCTTGGTTCCCGGTTCGCAGGGGGGTGGGAGGTTCGCAGTGTAAGATATATATCTAGATGTCTAGATATGTGAGTGGATTGAGAGTAGATGGCACAATCCACCAAGTTTGGTCTGTATGGGTCTCCGATCTAAATTCATCATCTTGAGGTGCCATGAAGCCATTCTCACCTCTAAAACCACTCACCTGTACCCTTGACCTTGTCATGTTCGGATTTCAGAGTTCTGAGTCCGAAATTCCTGACCTGGACTTCCAATGAAACCCTAGGGCTCCCGGCCCACATCCGCAGGAGAAGGTGCTTGGGGCGGGTGCCTCTCCTGGGTCTAACCACCGAACCTGAGGATATGGGACCGGAGGCCCCAACGAAAGGGACCGATGTTTGTTGCGCACGGAGACCATCCGGTCAGTTTGTGGTCAGTCAGGACTCGGTGACCAGACGATGGACTCGGTGCCGAAATGACCCTGGTTGGATCCAACACATCAGGGCTGATGTATTTGCCTATATCTTTCAAAGGGATCACAAAAAACCAACGTCGAACGCCGTCAGGTTGGAAGGTCAATCATCTAACCGTATCCAACTGTAATGCCTCCTGCAACTTGAGACATGGAACGCTCCACCGGGAACCTTGGTTGGAGGCCTTTCCGGGAACCTGTTGCCCATGCGCCTCTCCGGCGCCACGCTGCATCTCTGCCCTGCCAGCGCCTATCGCGCGGCGGGCGGCGACTTAGCCGCGGCGGATCACTTGAGTCGAGACTGAACGATCGGCGACGCAAACGCTCGACGCGCGGTCGGAGATGTCCAGCTGCGGCCTTTCAAGAGGGTTTATATATATATATATATTTTGAAAAAGGGAGAGCACTTGGCAAACAAATAGGTTTAACTAGAAGCATCATGAAGCACTCAAAGCCCATTGGGCCGCCTGTTGAATGATCCTGGCAATGTGAGTGAATGTGTGTGTGTTGAATCTCCATCATGCCATATTTGGCACAAACATTTGTAACATTTTGCAACCGGGTTGTATGTTTTCTGAAGCAGAGACTGCCAACCTCATACCAAAGCGCACTGTTTGTAACCGGATTGCTATAGTCGCGTCCCAAGACGCGACGACAAAATGACCACCTGAAGAAATAGCTATGGCTATGACATGCAACTGGAGGAGACCTGGTGGGTGGCAGCTTTCATGACCTTCCCCGCAAATTTAGAGCAAGTTTGAAGCGTTTTCTTGCAAGCTGACATGCTTTGTTTAACTCAGTCTTCAAGGCTAACAGGCCCGGTTCGCACGGCCAGAGCTTTGGTGTATTTGTTGTAGACAGTCGACAGATTAATGGGCGTTTCGGTAGGATACCGGATACTTTGGTTCACCACCCGACTACCTGGCGCTCCAGGTGGGTCACGACCACCCACCTCTCAGCTTCCTTTCCGTGTCACACCGCTCCACGGGCTCCCCAGGAACGAAGAAGTGGCGGAGCAGTTGAGGAGACGTGGGCGTGATCCCTATGTCATACCAGTCTCTCGGAGCAGCTTCGGTTGATTTCATCTGTTGTATATCCCAGACACTCCATGGGACTGCCATAATCATTTTTGAACAAGGCCTTTACTAACCATCATCCAGTGTTACTGGTAACGGGATAGACCCAAAGTATATGATATATATATATATGTATAAACCCATTCCACATGATAGGGATTCACTGATCCAATAAAACCTTTTTCGATCTATGCACTCCTGCGCCTCTCAAACAAAAAGATATTCACCGCTGGAAAGAGCAAAGCTATTGATGACCACTCATGACCAAATACATTGGGCCATTGGGCCAGATCTCCAATTGCACGTCGCATACCCATTCTTTACCCTCTTAGATTTGCTCACATTCTTGAACTTGGCTTGGTTAATCCTGGTTGTTTTGTACCATCAGCACAAGGTTGTCCCCATCCGGGCCAGTGGTGGATCTGCGAGAAAGGAGAGCCTGACAGAGAGAGAGAGAGAGAGAGATGTAACGCATCTCCACATCAATCCCGGCAGCACATATAGACTATAGAGTATAGAACAGCTGAAAACGTAAGACATAAAGAAAACACCCAGCAGTCACGTTCGACGGGGTGCTATTGGAGGTTAGGGGTGCCCCTGTCACACCACCCAGGCCCTCCATGTGACTCCTGAGCATCGGCAGGTCGGTGGCACCACGCCCTTGGGCACCTGGGGTTACCTGAATGCCGTGGAGGAGTTCCAACAGCAGTGCCTTGCCCCCGCGTGGCCAGTTGACCCAGGAGTTGGTACGGAGCATCGTTGTTGTTCGTTGTTTTTTTTGTGCTTTCGGTATTCTGAAAGAGAGGTGTTGTGATTCAATGATACTATCCCACATACCATCCTATGTATGACATGGTGTTTGACAAGGAGCGGGTGATCATGGTAAGATGATGACTTTTTTTTGGCTGGGTAATGGGAAACGATCTGCATGTGTGACAATTCACAGAGTTTTGGCCATGTTCAAGACGTGGGAACTTGTTTTTGATTGCTGCAGTATCCCAGCTTGTATTGTCAAGACCAGATTTGTACCCTGAGTCGGCCTTGGACTTACTCAAGCAGTGTTGTTGCATGTGCTTGAGACATCGCCGAGATGGTCCTTTCATCACTTCACTGAGGCTGACTGAGTTGGAAGACCCTATAGAGCCCTGGCATGTTCAGCACATCGTTTTTGAGTTGGAGGAGGTTGAATCTTGCGATTGCTTGTGCTGGAAGAGCCATGCCCACGGCAACGATGTCTACAAACCCTGTAATACTGACTACCGCGATGGTCATTTCCGTGGTCCTCTATCACAGCCTCAGCGTCTCCTCAGAACTCAAGGTCTGAGGTGGAAGACAAAACGGTCGACTGACTGCATTTAAAGGTCCCCAGAGCTCCTTTGCTTCCCACGACATTGGAGAACTATGGAGAACTCTTCCGGGACGAGGTCGGAAGCCAATCCCATCCTGACCTCCCTCCTGTGTTTGTGTTATATGTTTTTGTTTGTTTGTGAGATAAACGGCCCAGGTGGTCAAACCAATCATTGACAAACCCGTGACATCCCACCGAAAGAGTACCGAGCCCTGGATTTATCCAAAGTAGTTAAGTAGTTCTCAATTGAATTCAGGCACCTTCAGCGTCTCATGGAGCTATGATTCAAAGCCAAGCGAGGATTTGGAGCCTCCAAGGTATTAGGTACTGTACCGAACATGATCGAACATGGAACATTTCGGACATGACTCTAGAAAGCAACAAACCCAACACTGACAGTCCATCTTTCTCGGCTGAGATTTTATCAGGATCACATTCTGGTCCCGTGCGGCTCGGGTGGCACCTTCGCTGGCCTTGCCGTGGGATTTCACCTCGCGCAGCTGGACGGGGACGCGCGAAGATGCCGGCTGCCCCTTCGGTTGGAGATGATCAGGTTGGTCGGGTTGTCGTTGGGTCGTCGTGGTCGTCGTTGGGTCGCAGAATCACATCGTGACCAGGAGTTTCACGCTGAAAATCGACTTCACTTAGCTTTGAAATATTCCAGCAGCATAAATAACATTAAAAATTAAAAGTATTGAAAAAGCCCCAACGCTCCATGTGAGCAAATATGGATGACATACAAATGTGTGTTGTGAGGGGCCTCGTAGGCATGTGGACTCTCAGGGCTGCCGTTAACGAAAGGGTCTCGACATGTCTCAAATGTGGTTCCTGAGGGCTCACGTTCACACATGTCCAGCTGCTGGGCTGGAGCAGCTTGGACATGTGGGGAAATGCAACGATCATCGATCATCGGCCTTTCGCAGGATCCTGAGTTGCTACTAATTTGAAACTTGGCACCTGATTCTAGCCCAAGTTGCCACATATGCCCAGGTGATTGGGCTCACGGAGATGATAGAGGCCTCCTTTGTGCTCTTTCGATCTAGCTTGGGATAGTGTCACCACATGCTGCTAGGTGCTGGATCTTCGGCCAAACCTCGCGAGGTTCCATTTGATGAAGGCACGTTGTGGAACATGTGCCACTGTGTGAGTTTGATTGCAGCGCAGGCGTCCATGGATCTTCACTGAAAGTCAGAACGCACCCGCATTTTTCGATCTACATATTTATCTGTGCATGTCAATGTGTGTTTGGATGGGAAAGAGTGCGTGCTCTGTTGATCACTGTTGAGTGCTGCATGTCTTTTTTGCTGGTGATATCGTTGGCGCTGATATCGGAGACTTGGCTCCTTGACCTGGGTTTTAGTTCTGCCGGTCTGCCGCGTACAGAGCAGTTTCTTCGCATGTCAGGGGCACGGTGCCTGGCTGGAAGCGATCGCAAAGGATCGCGTCCGAAAGGCGGCAAGGCGCAAAGAAGACAAAATCTGCCGGGACAACCTCCTGGCACTGCACAAGGCACACCGTGGCACTAGGCCAAAAGAAACTTTTTATCTCCACAGGTTCTGGCCAGGCATCCGGGTTGGTCCCATCCCTACAAGGGCCCGCCAACTTTGGACAAGGAGGAAGCCCGTTTCAGGGAAAACCAAAGGGTAACACACAGACAGGGTTTGGTAAAAACCTACTCGACTAACTTCGTAGCAGGCCCGCGACATGCGTGGAACGTGGCCACAGTCGAAGACCACGCGTGGAACGGTGGAACCTTCGAAACAGTAGCCGCACAAAGACGTCAGAAACCTTTGCAGCGCTTCGTAGAAGGTAACTTTGATGTACTAACATTGTAGAAGCAGTTTTTGCTCATCCCCTTTCCAGTCATACCCACTATTTTGCCTCTATTGTTGATAGGAGATTCAAGGCTTTAGCCGTGGGAGGACCAGGAAAAAGTACGCTGCCTGATCGCCGAGCTGGAGGAAAAAAAACGCCAAGCAGCAGACGGACAAGGCATTTGAGCATCATAGAACAGCAGAGCCGCGCCGAACAGCTGCACTTGTCTGGGGCTTTGCGACGCAGGAAAAAGCCCGGGCAGAAGAGCAAAGCCTGCGGAACAAGGACGCGACGAAAAAAGATTCGGAGCGTGTCGTTCAGCAATGAATCAGAGAATTGCCTCTTCAGGCGGCAGCGCCACTGCAGTGTGCACCCCGATGATGAGCGGGCACAACCGCCCATGTAGGAGCCTGAGTGTAAGTTATTTTCGCCTAGGTAGACGAATGCCGGAAAAGCTCAAAATTGAGAGTCGAGTTTTGTTCAGTCCAAGCTTTCCAAGTTAGAAAATCCATATCAAAATGAAACGGGAGCTTCGGAAGTTGAGGCGGATCCGGCACAAGTGACAAGCAGGGCCGTCTTACGCGTTGTAAGACAGGACCATGCTCACAGGAAGGCTCACTTTGGTGTTCAAATGAACAGGTTTCTGTAGAGCACACGGAAATCCCGCCAAAATCAAATGCGGTTATTTGTGCCCAATGAAGGTGCAGGTATATGTATGTGGATTTTGAAGGTAATTATCTACGATGAGTCACAGGTTTATGTATAATTTGCACGTCTTATGGCAAAGCCGTGTATAGTCATAGAACCGGAACTGCATCGATACCTGGAAATTGTGCGAGGCAGACAGCAGAGGGAAGCTGGTGAGGCCCAGACGCGTAGTCTGGGAACTGGTCTGCACCCATTTGGACAGTGAGGGCCCCAAGTTGTACATGAAACGTAAACGAAATCACGAGATAACGGGCGTCTGGAATTCTTTCCAAGGGGTCGTTGCACTGCTGGAGCTGGCGCATGACCGGAGCCCCACAGAAGCCGAAGTGATCGACGCGCTGGCGCGCGCGAGCAAGCAGATACTGCCCCAAGTCACCCAAATTAGTAATTTTTGTAACCATAAGATTTACGTACATTTTTGGTTTTACTTGGGAAAATTTACGTAAACAATTACGTAAATGTAGTAGTAAATCCAATTTAGGTTATGAGTAATTTTTGTAGGTTATGAGTAAATTTTTGTGAGCATGGTTTTGAAGCAGAAAATGTCTCAATTTATGTGAGTTGGCTTTATCCAAAGAGGCAGGTTTTCTACAGGACAACATGTACTTGAATATTTGCGCTATGGATTTTTGTTGACTGAGCATGCCAGGAGGTGTGGACTTTGCCTTTACTTGAAGGGATTGCATTTACTTGAGCATGTGTACCCTTCTTGACTTGAACAAAACCTTTCTACTTGAGGGTGTCTACTTGAGGGCGTATATTTACTTGAGGATGTAGACTTTTCTTCACTTTAGGAGGAAGAGCATTCTTTGATTCTCTGATGGTTCCTTATCCTCCTGCAACCCTTCTGCCCAGCCATGAGCTGCTGGTTTCTTCTTTGGCTGTTCGGTCTCTCCACTTGCAGCAGGCCTTTTCAAACAGTTGGCCTTTGCCTTTGACTCTGGTTTGCCCTTTCCTTTTGCTTTTGCTTTGAGACTCTTTCCTTTAGGGCTCTTTGCTTTTGGGCTCTTTGCTTTGGCAGCAGGTTTCTTCTTCACAGGTGTACTGGGTGATTTTTGCTCAACCTCTTCCTTCTCTTCAGGTGTGACTTGACCCATAGGAATTTCTTCGTCTTTGTGCAAAAGTATTACATTCTCAGGTAAACGATAAACCCACAAGACTGCATAAGACTGCTAGGTATTGTTTTGCTGACAAGATGATGCAGAACATCTAACTTTTCATGAAATCTGCCAAAAACCTGTATGAATCTGATGCACTTTTGATGCACTTCTGATGTATATACACTTTTCAAAAGTACATCAAAAGTTTATCAGAAGTACATCAAAAGTACATCAAAAGTGCATCAAAAGTTCATCAACATTTTATCCCAAATTTATAGGTGGCCAGTCTCAAGTACAGGCACCTGTTGCACCTCAGAAAAAACAATGCTTAAGTTAGAGGAGGTTTTCTGGAAAAGCAGCTGCCCAAAAAGTAGCAGCCCAAACACCGTGTGGCCACATGTTCTTCCAAATTGGAACTGTGTTTACCTGAGTATGTCTCCTTTTCTGTTTCACCCAAGTCATTTTGCATGTGCTTGTCTTTCCTGTGTGCTTATACCTGAATGTGTGCGCTTGTGCTTTTATCCAAGTGTCTCTACTTGGGGCTATATGTTTTATAAATTGCTTTCTTCAAGACCTAAACTGGTTTAGGTCGTACCTAATTCGAATTTACATTGACTAACCCATTTTCATCAACTTACGTAAATCCAATAAACATGTAAATTTACTAATTTCGGTGACGTAGGGTGGATATTGACGGTCAGCAATACTATAGGCCCCCTCCAAAGACATGCTTGTGCCGCACAGTTCGTCGCAGGCTGTGCAGCTCCACGTCGACGTGGCGGCCATCGTCGAATGGCGCGGTCACGCGTCGGCATGGCTGCTCCTGCGTCAAACGGCAGCGAACCAGCTGCCGCGCGAAAGCAAATCCGCAGGGAATCCTAGCTTCAGTCCCGTCGTGTGGAAGGGTGGTGCGCAGAAAGGGTTGCGCAGAAACGCAGGCACGGGTAGTTCGTGGGACCTGGTGCCAATCGAAGACCATTCGTGGAACGGCTCACTCTTAGGAAAAACCACGAACAAAGATAGATCTCTACGCAGAGCTTGTCTGGGTTCCAAGGTGCGGAAGGAGCGCCTGAAAGCGGACAAAGAGAACAAAGAGACCCTGGCGAGAGCACGTCGTGCAAGACGTGCGCGCCAGGCGCAGAAGGAGCAGGCACGGCAGAACACTTCCGGATATCGTTCCATGTCCGCTTAGTTTGAGAAGACAGAGAGAGAGAGAGAGAAGTAGCAAAGCACATCACAAAGATGCACAGGGTTTAGAAATGTGAGCGCCGTCGTAGACAGCACATGCAATTCGCACGCTCGGCATTGGCGTGTGAGAGGCGAAGCAGTCGCGCGTGGACCGTCGCAATGCCAAAAAGCGCGAAGCGCGAGCCTGGGCAAAAGTCGAGAAGGAGAGTGAGGCATAGTTTTTTAAATGTTGGCGCCTGATTAGTAAACGGGCCCCCCCCCTCCCTTCAAACAAACAGGAGGTCCTCTATAATAAACTATCACCAAAACAAATCTGGATTCCTGGTGAGGGATCTTTTGTAGTTGATTGTAGTATTCATTTTCCTTTCATAGATTGTATTCAGCTTCCTTTCTCAGGTTCTTTGTAATTGTTCTCAGCAATCCTTTTGCTTTGCAGCCTCAGATCTTCAGCTCAAGAGAAGCCCCAAGCTTTCAGCTTCCATGGCTTCCTAAGTAAAGGAAGATTCCATGAGCAATTTTTCCAGTGGAAAAAACTTTTCACAATAGAGGTCCCAAAAACAAA